ATAAAGACATCAGATAATCCAAGTACTTTTTAATTTCAAGTCTAGTCTTCAGATGCTAGGCATTTCAAGGTAAGTACATTTTAATAAAGTTATTATAGCTCCTTGCTATCAAACCCATCCAGAAATGATGCTTTCCCATCGGTCCATGTATTTTTATAGGAATGGGCTCTATAGGAGTGATCATTCAGCCCTTAATCAAAGACTATTTTCCCCCAAAGCCTTATATTTTAGCCTTGTATTTCAGAAATATGTGAAACTCATAATTCTTCATTTTAAAAGTTTTTTTTGAATAGTAGGAAAGAATCTGTCCTTCCTCAGTAAAGGAAAATATTCACGTTGGGTTTGGATTGCCTCAATTTTTTTTTTTTTCGGTCTATGAAATACGTAAGATTTTTTTTTTTTTTTTTAAAGGCAATAGGTACCCGCTGGAATGTAATCTCTCTGTAGCTGTCTACCCCAAACAGTGATCATTTCCTAATAAAAAAACACTTGTCTTTTTAATCGTTTTTCCTACAGAAGTTACATTTGTGATTAAGGAAAATAAGATGAAGTGACTATGGGAACGATGAGAAAATAATGAACATCAGTCATCTATCTTGAAAGATCAAGGAGGAGGAAAATATTCTCATTTTATCACATAGAAGCCACAGATAGGCCGGGCGCGGTGGCTCACGCCTGTAACCCTAGCACTCTGGGAGGCCGAGGCAGGAGGATCGCTCGAGGTCAGGAGTTCGAGACCAGCCTGAGCAAGAGCGAGACCCTGTCTCTACTAAAAATAGAAAGAAATTAATTGGCAAACTAAAAATACATAGAAAAAAAATGAGCCGGGCGTGGTGGCGCATGCCTGTAGTCCCAGCTACTCGGGAGGAGGCTGAGGCAGGAGGATCGCTTGAGCCCAGGAGTTGGAGGTTGCTGTGAGTGAGGCTGACGCTCTGGCTGAGACTCTGTCTCAAAAAAAATGAAAAACCTTAGCACCATCCTGGAGTCCTGCCTTATTAGAGCCAGAACTGCCTTATAATGAAGTCTCTCTCTCTCTTTTTTTTTTTGAGTTACTCGAACCTTCTTCTGTGGTTGGTTCCACTGCCTAAAACAAACAAACAAACAAACAAACGCTACACAATATGTGCATGGACTAAACTCAAATTCCACCTCAAACCAAGTGGTTTGTGTGATAACACAAAACTTACTGGTACAGGAAAGTAACTACTGTGCATCTCTTGGGTGGCTCGGCTAGTCCCCTAAGGCAGGCATCCTCAAACTACGGCCCGAGGGCCACATGCGGCCCGCCCAGGACATTTATCCCGCTATGCCGGGTGTTTTTGCCGCCGCTGCCTGTCCTGCTTAGCAGCCGACGCGTCCCGGGCCCGCAGTGCGCACTCTCCAACGGTCTGGGGGACGGTGACCTGGCCTCCCCTCCCCGTTTTAAAAACTTGGAGGACCCCTGCCCTAAGGAATAGAATCAAGAAAGTGAGTATCAAGGCAAGAGCAATTTGAGAAACTTGGTCGTGGCCACCCAACTTTCTCCCGATCTTTGCTAACAACCACGTGGCCACACGTGTTACATACTGATTAATCAAGGGCATCACTGCCCACGGTCAGCATGTCGGACAGACCCCCCCTCCCACGGCAAGGATGCTGAGCGCGGGTTTTTGTTCCCTTAGCCGGGAGGCCAGCTCCTTGCAGACCACGACAGAGCCCTGGTTTTCAGAAGAAGAGTTGAAATCTGCTTCCGATTCAGGACCCTGGCCAAAAGACGTACTGCGATTACAAAAACTCGTTCAACATTTTTTTGTTTTTTTGGTATTTTATTTTTTTTTTGAGACAGAGGTCTGCTTGTTGCCGGGCTAAGCAGTGATGCCGTGGCTCAGCCCTCGCTCCGACAACACTCAACTCCTGGCTCAGCGATCTCCTGCCTCCAGCCTCCTCCCGAGTAGCTAGGGACTACAGGCATGAGCGCCACCACGCCCGGCCTTCAATTTTTTAGTTATATATAGATTAGTTGACCACATTAATGTTCTTTCCTATTCTTTAGTATAGACGGGGTCTGCTTTGCTCAGAGCTGGTCTTCGAACTCCTGACCTCTAGCGAATCCTCCCAGCCTCGGACCTCGCCCGAGTGCTAAGGATGACAGCGTGGGAGCCACCGGGTGCGGTCCGCCCCCGGCCCGCCAGCCCGCGCCGCGCCCGCTGCCCCGGGCGCGACCGTCCACACTTTCAATTGGTAATGTCACCGCGTTCCCGCTCACGCGGACACCAGAGCCTCTGAAGCGCATTTACAGCAGTATCCAGTCCCTAGAACTTTTCCTGGATGGGGCGAATCTTCACTTTCCCTTCTTATTTTTACTTTATGTCGTTATTAATTTAGTTTCGCAGGGACGAAACTACCTATCAAAGCGTTGGAAATTCTCTTTCCTAGAGATCGACTCTGACCCAATCATCCGGATGGACTCGGATCGAAGGCCCTGGCGCCTCCCCTGCCTTAAAGATGCCTGGCCTATTTCTTTTTTTCTTCTTTTTTTTTCAACATGCTTTGCAGTTACTTATTTCCCCCCGCCCCGTTATCATGCATGCCTGTCCATCTTCAAAGCACAGAAACAGAGGGAGTGTGTCCAGAAACTATTACCCTTTTTTTAGCCTATATATGTGTTGCTACCTAGGGAGGGAGTTGCGTAATGGGCGATGCAAGCTTTGAGGCGTAGTAAGTTACTTGCTCGCCAACCGCTACGGAACTCCATCAGGAGAGAGGGCAGTTCTTGGCGTAGAGCACCATGAGCCGGGTGGGAGGAGCTCACTCAGCCCCATAGCCCTGAATCGTGCGCTGAACACCGCAGGGAGTCATAAAGCAGACCGGTTCTCACCGGGGTGGAATTCCAGGAGTGTTTACACCCTGCGCCGGCTGCTCCCTCTCACCCTCTTCTCCCAGCTCGCTCCCAGCATGGACTGTCGCAACCTCTATTTGCCCAGAATGGCTTGTTAAAGAACCCAAAAACACCAAGCACACCTGCGTTTTGCTTGTGTGTGTGTGGTGTGTTTTTTTTTTTTCCCCCACCAAGGAAGAGGAAGCTACGCCAGCAGAACGTGTCGTGGTGATATCAGCGACAAAAACGGCTGCAGAGTAAGAGCGGGTGCAGGATCCAGCTCTTAAAAGCAAATGTGCAAAAAAAAAAAAAAAAAAAAAAAAAAAAGTTCTGAGTCTACTTCTCTCCTCATTGGTGATGAACGTGTGCTTGATCTTCCCACCCAAGGGACTTCCGCTGAGCGATTGGCGATCAGCATCCGCGAGCACCCCACCAGACCAGCCTGGGTATCGGTCCCGTTTGCCCTCTTCCAAACACCCCCTCCAGCACCCGGGTCCTCCTCTGCTTCGCTCGCCCCAGTCTGTCTCTCCCTATCCGTGTGTCCCCTCTTGCTGCAAGGTTTCCAAACTAGGTCTGCTCGGAAAAAGACGCACCTGGGGCCAATGCCAGGTGTGAGCGACAGGACAGGACAGGACAGGAGGTCGTGCGCAAGGGCGTCTGGATTGAGCTCGGAAGTCCTTGAAGGGGGTGCATGGACTAGGGGCAGGGCGGCCGACGAGTGAGAGCCAGGGGTTGAGGGAGATGTCCTGCTTGGGGAGCCCAAAAGGCACCCTGGGAGGAAGGGAGGATGGGGTACGGGGTCCGCCGCCGCGCTCTCTCACCTGTCGCCTGTGCCTCGGAAGCTGCGCCACCGTGTTGCCTTCTGCGCGGGCCCCCGGGCGCGCGTGGGCCCCAGACTCCGCGCCACCTGGGCGCCGCTGTACCTGTCGTAGAGTCGCAGCATGTGCTCCGACGCCCCATCCCGTGGCCGGAGCTCCTCCGGGCTCGGGCCACCACCTCTCGCGCGGTCACCTGGCGCGGCTCCGTGGCGCTCGGGGACATGCTGCTCCCGCTGCTGGTGCTGCTGGTGCTGCTGCTGCTGCTGCTGCTTCGGCCTCTCCCCCTGCGCCAGGCTCAGGCAGAAGCAGCCCAGCCACAGACGGAGCAGCCCGCGCGCCCCGGCCATGGCGAGGTGGCGGTCCCCGCCGGCTGCGCAGGCGACACCCCGGGGGCACGACGCGCCGGAGACGGAGCCCGAGTGCGCGCAACTTCAAGTCGGGTGGGGCGAGGGCGCCCGGGGGAGCCGGGGCTGGGCGAGGACGGGGCGGCGACGGGGAGCCGCCGCGCGCCCCGGCAGGCAGGTGTCCAGGTGTCTGTCCGTGTCCCCGCGGCGCTGCGCGCACCGTGCCCGCCCGGGCGCCGGGAAGCGGGCTCTGGTTTGTCCCAGCCTCGGTCTCTCGCCGGTTTCGGGGACACCCGCCCCGCCGCGCTGGCCGGGGACCCAAAGCGCCGCGTCCGAGCGGCCCCGCGTGCGCCCGGGTGCGGGCGGCCCAGCTCGGCGGGTCCAGGGGCCGCAGCCGCGCCGAGTGTCGCGCGTGTGTCCGGGTACGAGTGTCAGAGAGAGACACACCACGCCGCGGCACGCACGATCTGGTGCGGTCCCTTCGCTCCCCAGCCGGCACGCAGCCCGCCTCGCCCTGCGCGCTTCGCTTGGGTGCAGCTTGGACAGCGGAGCCCGCAGGGGGAGGGACCAGAGCGCGGGCGGGGGAGGGAAGGGGAGGAGGGAGGGAGAAGGGAGGAGGGAGGGGAGAAGGGAGGAGGGAGGAGGAGGGTGAGGAGGAGGGATAGGGAGGAGAGAGTAGGAATGGCTAGGGGATCCTCTCTCTTTTTT